TCTTCCCTTCTTGTCTTTGCAGATGGAGACCTCACGGACACGCTCAGCTGCCCACGCTCCACTGCCTCGGAGCCAAACGGCAGCAAGACCTCCATGAAGAGCCCGACGCAGCGCTACAACCCCTTCAACGAGGAGAAAGCCGACGCGCCGTCCTCCACCGAGACCACGCCGGTGCACACAGCTTCCCAGGAGAAGGCAGAAGCCACCCCTGAAGGAACGGACCAGTCCGAGAGCTGCACGGAGCTGGAGGTCATCAGGTAGGGACAGAGCTGCCTGGCCTGGAAGCGTGCCCCTGAGTGTCATCTGTCACCAGAGGTTGTTGATGTGCCACCCCTTCTAGCCCAACAGAGACAGCATCTGTGGTGTAGCCTTTATAAATCATGAGAAAGTGGTTTTGTACCTCCAGACACCAACTGATGCTCTGTAGGTGTCAACAGAGCTGCTCCCTTGGGTCTGTAGAGCTACAGGCTGGCTCGACATAAACACCTTTGCCTGACAGTCTGTATCAGAGAGCTCAGAGGAAGCCGTGAGCTTTTATTTGAGGTTTTCTCCAGCTGGTGGCAGGTTTGCAGCAACTCTGGGTCTCGGATCTTCTCTCGCGTCCTTCCTCTTGTTTGTCAATGAGCTGTGGCTAAACCTGTTGAGGGAGATGCCTCCGCAGATGTGCTGGCCTGTGTTTGACTCTTGCAGAGGAGATCCCCAGGGGTCCCCCGGGGCCTTTAAACCCAGACAAAGAGCTCAAGGCTCCGTCTGCTCACACCCAGGGATGGGAGCACCCCAAAACCAGCCCAGCAGGCCTGTGCTTTGTTCTCGTGCCCTGCTTTTCCTGGGAGGAGCAGAGGGAGCTAGGTTACGTCGCATCCTGCTCTCCAGCAGACAGGAGGGAAGGGGAGCACCGCCCTCGCTTCCCAAACAAGAGTGACCTGGCAGCAGTTTGGGTGCCATGGGAGGCCTGAACACTACCGCAGCAGGCATCCCGGTGTGCTGTTCGGCTGGAGCAGGCTCCAGCCTGCATCTCCCTCTTCTGGCAGCTGAGGACACGGCGTTCCTACGTCCTCTTGAAACCTTCTCCCTTCCCAGCATCTTGCTCTCAGACAGGGATTTCTCCCACGTCACTTTAGCTCCGCATCCATTTGTGATCCCCTTTGCAGCCAAAGGAAGCCCAAGATGCTGCGTCCAGCAGCCAATGCCTCTTTTCTTTTTTGGATAGGTAGGAAACAGTGTCCGTACCCCACTTTTCTTGTGACAGCTGGCATGGAGACAGGGGCTCTATGTGGCCACACATTGAGTGATGTTCTTGATCTAAGGATTTCTCTGCAACAGGGAAAATTGCAAAGGAAGGTTGCTGGGAAAGGGCAGGACCCCTCTCTATATTGCAAAAGTCTAAGCAGGCACAGATGAGTGACATCTCTGTTTGATCTCTCACCTTGCAGGTTAGCCAAGAAGAAGAAAACAGGCAAGAAGAAGAAAGCGAAGCCTGAGGAGCCGGTGAACACCCCTGCACCCATAGGGCTCGAGACCCAGCAGGCCAGCGGAGACAGCGGCGTGAACGGGCTGAGTGACAGAGAAGACCCGCAGAGAGACGACGGTCCCGCTGCCCCGGCTGGCGAGCCAAGCCCGAGCGGGCAGGAAGAGGGTCACACACGCTCTGCCCTCGGCCAGCTGGCTTTACGCATCCCCGAGATGAAGGACACATCCATGGAGAGTGTGGGGCAGCCGCTGAGCAAGGTGATGGACAGGCTCAACGGGCAGCTGGACCCCGGTGGCTGGAACGCCCCTCTCGAGCCCCCCGGGCAGTCCTTTCGGACTGGCACGCCAGGGGAGACCCCGGATGGATCGTCCTCTGGCGACTTTAGTGAGGGGATTTCAGCCCCCATGGACTTCTACCGCTTTACCGTCGAGAGTCCAAACGCTGCTGCACCAGGTGGTGGCCACCATGACGCTGCAGGGCCTGGCCAACCGCCATATGTTTCTGGTAGCCCTGAGGCTCCTGAAGAAGAAGAAAGCAGAGAGGGAGAAGCAGTTGGGGCAGTAGAGGAGTCTGTAGGGGTGAGCGATGAACCCCAAACTGGCCAGACAGAAACCGCCAACCCCCAGGCTCTCCAAGAGCCGAAGAAGGAGCAGCCCAGCCCTTCCCCGAGCAGCGCCGAGGACTCCGGTGTGGATGAAGGGCAGGGCAGCCCTTCGGAGCTGACCCATCCCTCCGAGTTCAGGTGAGGCTGGGTTTGCTCAGCAGGGAGAGCATCTTCCAAACAACCTTGAGCTCAAGCTGTCACTTTTCCCTTTGTCCTCGGTTTGGGGGGCAAAGCCCATCCTTCTCCAGGATGAAGATGAGGCACGAGGGGTCAGGAGGAGAAGGTGTTGGGGGATCAACAGGTGCCCAAATCATGGACAAGTTCAATAAGGAAGGGGATTGTCCTTCTTGGACTCACCCAGCCCCACGTCTATGTCCATCCTCTACTGTCTCTTCACAGGGTGGATAACAACCATCTCCTCCTGCTGATGATCCACGTCTTTCGGGAGAACGAGGAACAGTTGTTCAGGGTAAGGTGGTCACCATCGATCTCCCACGAAGGACAGGCTCTGTGTCTGCATCGGCCACGGGCTGAGAGCTCTTTTCTCTCCGCACAGATGATCCGAATGAGCACCGGGCACATGGAGGGGAACCTGCAGCTGATCTACGTCCTGCTGACAGATTGCTACGTGTACCTGATCCGGAAAGGTATCCCGTCCCAACAGCCTCTGTGCTCAGTGGCAGGGAGGGAGGCTTCCTTGATCCGTGGCTTGTCCATAAATTAGGGCACCACAGCTCACTACCTTCACTGCCAGCTCCTGCCAGTTCCCTCACGTCCCCCAGAACAGCAGCAGTCACAGTAGGGAGCTCAGGTTGACTTGTCCCCCAGGAAGCCCTGAGACACGTGCCCCGCGGCTCTGTGCTGCCTGGGACACGGCTGGGTTTGCAGGTCCAGATCCAGGCAGCGCTGGGGTCCTTTGCCCCCCTTTCATGTGGCTCTTTGTGTCTGTGCCAGGGGCAGCGGAGAAGCCGTACATGGTGGAGGAGGCCGTTTCCTATAATGAGCTGGACTACATTTCGGTGAGTGCAGCCTGGGTTGGGTCCGACCTCCTGGGGGGAGCAGGAGGCGAGCAGGGGGGTCGGTCCTCGCCTCTCCAGCTGCAGGGGCGTCAGGTACCCATTAGGGTGGGGTGTTTCTGTGGAGCGCTCTGTCCCCAGGGAGAATTTTGGCTAGTGAATCTTTGAGACTGGGAAAGTTAGAAGTCATCCCCTCTCAAATGCTGCCTCTGCGGGTGCCCAGCTTGCTCGTATCTTCGCATGGGCAGCAGAGCGACCGCTGACCTTCTCCCTTGGGGCCAGAAGCCAGGTTCAGCCCTGCTTTGCCACCCCTTGTCCCCTGCCTGGCTTCCCTAACCACTCGTACGTGGCACAGGTTGGGCTGGATCAGCAGACGGTGACCCTGGTGTGCACCAATCGGAGGAAGCAGTTCCTGCTCGACACCGCGGACGTGGCTCTCACCGAGTAAGCAGGGACCAGGCGCCAAACCGTGGTGCTTTCCTCCCGGGGTACGGGACTTCTGGCCATCACCTTGGACTCCTGGCGTGACTTGGGGAACGCAAGAGACTCCGGTGACAGCCCTTCACGACAAAGCCCTGCGACCGGAGGGGGTTTGGGGTTTGGTTTGATGCCACCGGCTAAACCCTGCAGGCACTGGGCGATGCAGACTGCGTGTCTTTTGCATCACTTGGGATGAGTAGGGATGAGGTCTTGAGTTTCAAGGCACGTCCCCGGGTTTCTCTGCGTGTTGTCAGCTCGGGGAGGTGACCTCTGTAGGGCCTGGATGGTTGTACTGGCATCTGTGTGAGGATGGGTGTCTATCTCCCAGTCTCGCCCGTCTCCTTCCTGGAGCTCAGACTTTGCAACCCCCATCGCCTTTGGTCTGTAGGTTGATTTCGAGACCCTTTGGTCTGGAAGACCAGAGGCCCACGTTGAAGGGAAGCCCCTTCGGCATGAGAGCGCATGAGGGAGATGAGGGGGCTGTTTGCCCTGGCCTCATCAGAAATCTCCGTCTTCCTCTCAGGTTCTTCCTGGTCTCCTTGAAGTCAGCCATGATCAAAGGGTGCCGGGAGCCCCCGTACCCCAGTATCCTCACAGATGCCACCATGGAGAAACTGGCACTCGCCAAGTTTGTGGCCCAGGAGTCCAAGTGTGAGGTGAGTTTGGATATCGTGGCCATCGCTACACGTGGCGGAGGCTCGGGGAGGCTCCCTCCCGTTGACTTCTCTGCCTGATTCTCGCAGGCCTGCGACGTGGTGGTGCGTTTCTACGGCCTCGTTCACTGGGAAGACCCCATGGACGAGGCGCTGGGACCCACCAACAATAGCTACACCTCCGCCGAAAACGCGGTCACCAAGGACGGCATCCTGCACTACAAGGCGGGGACCTCCTACCTGGGCAAGGAGCAGTGGAAAACCTGCTTCGTGGTGCTCAGGTGGGCGCTGGGGCCGTGGGTCGGGACTGGGGTCAGCCAGGGCTCGTCGGAGAAGGCGCTGGGACCAGTTTGTGGCCCAGGAGCTGCTTGGGAGATGGAGAGGGGGGACCCATCTTGTCACCTGGGAGGCTAAAGCCACCAGCTATGGCTGCCCAGCAGCAGGAACGCAACCCCACGGGACTGTGTGGGTGGAGGGCAGGGCAGGAGTGGCTGCAGGACTGAAGGCAGAGGGTGTTTGTGCAGTTGCCGGAGCCGAGCCGACTCTGGTTTACCACCTCTCTCATCTTCCCAAACGGCAGCAACGGGATCTTGTACCAGTACCCGGACCGCACGGACGTCACCCCTCTGCTCTCCATCAACATGGGGTAAGCGGCTGGCAGGATGTGGCGCCCGGATTCCACAGGGATCTGGGGATCAGGAACTTCTTGGGATGTTCAGGGAGTTGTTTCAGGGCAAACCATGATCTAGTCCGTGTCGCAGGACTCCCTGCTTGCTCCTGGCTGGGTACTCATGCCCCTTTGCTTTGGCTCCGGTGCGTGTAGCTGGAGACGAGCTCATTTTCTCCTGTTTTTTTTGCATGCCAAGCCCGTCTTCGGATGGGGAATTGGCCTCTGAAGGGCTGACCCCTCCAAGAGCCACGCTGGGCGGCCTCCACAAACCCCCCGTGCTCAACTCCAGCTCTACCGCGACGAGTAGAGACGGAGGGCGTCCTTGGAGCCGCCACAGGGGATGTCATGGATGGGGAAACGAGTGCTTGTGGGGGAAAGGGGTGACGTGCAGCGCAGGGAGGGTGGACGGAGGCTGTTTTCAGGCTAGCGCTGGCCGGTTGGTCCCGCTGATCTCCATCCTCCCCCCTCTCTCCCAGCGGCGAGCAGTGCGGGGGATGCCGGCGCTCCAACACCACCGACCGGCCCCACTCCTTCCAGGTGATCCTGACGGACCGGCCCTCCCTGGAGCTGAGCGCCGAGAACGAGGAAGACATGGCGGACTGGATGCAGTACTTCTGCCAGGCTGTCTCCAAAGGGGTGAGCCGGGGACAGGCCCCCCCCTCCCAAACATGGGTGCATCGACCCCCTCCTTCGCCCAGAGCCCCTTTGGGGCATGGAGCTGCCGACAGGAGCGGGGATGTCTGGCAGGGATGCAAGCAGGCAGTTTTCTCCCCAGCTGGGAGGGCTCCCCCAAGGGGCACCCCATGGAGATAGGGCTCCTTCGTGCCAGATTTTAACCCCCCCCTTTCCCCACCCCGTGCAGGTGATCCCCCAGGGTGTTGCCCCTACACCTTGCATCCCCTGCTGCCTTGTGCTGACGGACGAGAAGGCTTTCACCTGCCACGAGGACTGCCAGACAAGCTTCTTCCGCTCGCTCGGCACCGTGGAGCTGATGGACATCACGGCCATCTCCACGGAGGCTGGCAAGGAGTACTGTATCTTGGTGAGCACGGCGCTTCGGGGCCGGGCGGGGCCCGGGTGGGCGCTTCGGGGCCGGGCGGCCCAGGGCTGGGCAAAGACTGCGGTGATAACGCCCGGCCTCTCTCTTGACGTTTAGGAGTTTGCTCAGGACCGCAAGCAGTTCCTGCCTCCCTGGGTCCTCTATTTTAGTTGCACTACAGAACTGGAGAGGTTCCTCTCGGCGCTGAACGCCGCGTGGAGAAACATCTACCAGGTGAGCGTGCACGGCTGCGTCACGCCCTTCCTCCAGCAAGGAAGGGCGAGCGGGGCCGGCACCCTCCGAGGAAGGAGTGGGTGAATTTTTCCCTGCAGGGTGAACCCGGCTTTCCCACGAAGGGCAGGAGAGCCACGGAGCTCCTCCGTGTCCATGTAACTGTGGGATGCGGGATCCAGAACTTGAGTCCCCTGCAAGGTGGGCCGTGAGCATCCAGGGGAGCGGGGAGGAACCTGGGTCAGCCCCGTCACCCTCCATCACTCATATTTATGACACAGGCGACTTCCCCGTCTGTTTTTGAGGTGGTTTTACAACAAGGGGGAGAAGCGGCTGTCGTTCGTTCCCCTCCTGACCGCCCCGCACGCGCGTTTCAGGTCGACCTCCTGCACAAGGCCATTCTGGACGCCGCCGTCAAGAAGAAATGCGAAGACGCTCAGAGCCTCATCGACAGCGCCTGGCAGCGCAGCGACAGCCTCTGCCGCGGGCGAGCGGAGCGGGACCCCTGGTGTTAACCCTGGCCCGGGGGGAAGGACGGCTGACAGGGGCCCATTTTTGGGGAGCAGGGACTGTATCTGGCTGCCCTGCAGCCGGCTGGCACCCCAAACCCTCCTGCCATCGCTCGGTCCCCACCCAGAACGTGTCTGCAGGCGTGGATCCCGCGCTCCGTCCCCAGCACGTCGGCGATGTCCGGCGTGTTTTGGGGAGCAACCAGACGCTTCACCACGCTGGAGGCGAGGCCGAGCTCGCCCGCTTTCCTTGTACAGCCGAGCCTGCGCCCTCCTCCTCCTCGTCCAGCTGCCATGGGGCAAAATAATTTGCCATTGACGGAATAATATCCCGTGGGGAGGGAGTAGGGTGAGAGGGAGAGGGTGGGAGCGGGGTGGGCTGGGGATGAGCATCCCCCCGTCGTGGCGGGGAGCGGGACTGAGGACTTGTTCATTTTAGAACAGGGTAAGGGCGCGGAGGCGGCAAGACGGGAACACTAAATCGCTACCGTGCATGTTTTCTCCTTGCTAATACAATCACTGAGTACGGCACCGCTTCGCTGCCTCCTTCTCCTGGCATCTCCCGGGGCCAGGAGGTCTCACCCGGGGCCTCCGGACATCACAAAATCACTCCCCAGCCTGTCGCTGAGATTTGAGGCGAAGGAAGAAGGACCAGGGCTAAAAATTTGGCCTTGAATATCCGCACGTGATTTTGGAAGATCTCAGAAGCCAGTTTGAGGTTTGGACGCTGGAGAGAAGAGATCGAGTCCCGTGTTTTTCAGGTGTCCTAAGGGACGTTGTCACACGGCTGCCACCCGACGCGTCCCCATCTTCTCGGC